TTTCCTTTCTTTCATTTCCCTTACCCCTCCCACTTCCCCTACTCCTTTAGACCTTTTCTTCCTATTTCACAATATCAATTATACATTTTGATCCTTATTTACACTTTTAGTTTCTCACACCAGAGAAACTATTCACTATTTACACATGTGTCCTATTTATTTCACTTAAGAGTATGGCCTCAATGTGTATTCACTTAGCTATAAATGTCTAGTTTCTTGTTCTTTATGGCTGAGTAGTAGTACTCCATTTTATAGAAAAACCACATCTTTATCCAGTCTCCAGTAGATGGGCATTTGGGCTGTTTCCAAGCTTTAGCTATTTTACAAACTGTGCCGCTATAAACGTGGGTGAGCATATATCACTGTGGTATGATTCTTTTAATTCTTTTGGGAAGATACCCATCAAATATATTTTCTAATTGATCTTTGAACTCCTTTCAGAATCATTTCACCAAATTAAGCTCAGATTTTCCATTTGCTTATAGTGAAGTCCAAAGTCCTTTACCTATGCCTATGTCAGCTTTCCTGTCACTGAGATAAAATTCTGAACACCTGTAATTTAAAAGAGGAAAGGTTTATTTTGGCATACAGATTCCTTGGGTTCAGTCCATGGTTTGCTAACTCCAAGGCAGACATTCCATGGTGGAGGAAAGTTGCTCACATTGTGGTAGCAAGGCAGTAGAGATTTGTCCACTCTTTGGTGAATTAACACATAGTATAGCAACCCCATAATCCAGTGACCTTTTAAAAGCCCCACCTCTGAATATATGGGATTTTGGGGAAACATCTCAGATCTAAACCATAAATTACTTTGTGTTATCAATGTACTCGACTGTCTTTAAAGACCTTTTCACGTTCTAGGGCCAATTTACCTTTAACTTTTGAACTTTTCAAACACAAAAAAATTTACTTCAGTTAATGAAAGAAAAACAGTACCATAAATCAGGTTACTCAGTCTAGCCACAGTAGACATCTTGGTCTAGATCATTCTTTGGACTGTCTTGTGCATTGTAGCATAACTCATTAGTTTTTTGAACTTGGGCAGGTTGCTTAACCTCTTTGAGGTTTGGTGTCCTCATTTGTAAAGCATTCAGTGCTGGATACATAGAGCTCCAATGCTAACTAGTTAGTAAAAGTACCTAATCTGTGCATCCGTTTGGTCTAATTTAAGGTTAACATTTTTTTAGATAAATACCAAACTTTATTTAGCTTTTTTTGTTAATGTGTGAATTAATACTAGTTGCTTTAATTCACTTAATGATTCATTTGAGTAACACATTGTGCTGTGGAGTTTTTATTTTCTTTTGTTTCTAATTTGAAGCTTCTTAGCTATATCAAAAACCACAATAGTTAACTGCCACCATTTCAAGAATGTTGTAAATAACTTGGGTGGGCCATTTAGTTCTTCAGCATAATTAAGCTAGATAGCTTTCCTAAATGTATGCCTTGGTTTTAAAGCTATCTCTGAATGCTTTGTCTTACTATGATTTATAACAATAAGATTATGAAGGTATTTATGAGTTAAGGAGCAGATTATTTTAGAGCTAGAGAGATATGTGGAGGAATGAGACATTTATGTAGTTTGTGTTAAAGTAATAGAAATGTTCATTTAGTAGATTTTACTAAAATTATTAGCAAATTGTTTATTGCTTTAAGAAAATTAAGGCTTTGAAGAAATTTTAGGTTGTTTTCTAAGTAAATATCTTTCTTTTTTCCTTTTTTCCCTAGAAAATGTTAGTCTATGATCCTGCTAAACGAATTTCTGGCAAAATGGCACTGAATCATCCATATTTTGATGATTTGGACAATCAGATTAAGAAGATGTAGCTTTCTGACAAAAAGTTTGCATACATTATAATCCAGGATGAATAGTTGTATTTTTACTGTTGATTCTATTTTTGTCTTCTATATTTTTCTTTGTTGTAAAACTGAAACTGTACTTCACTTTCTCATTTCAAGAATATAACTTAAAAATGTAAATATTGTTCCATATAAATTTATAATTCTGTATATGTGTGTA